CTGGATGTGAACATCTGACCATCTTACTTTCCTCCCTGCGGCCTTGTCCTCTTTCTGACCAATGACCCAGAAGAGACCTGGAACTTGGTGACATTAATTTGGACTTCACTGCTTCAGTGGGTCAAATCCAGGAATTCACAGTGCCTTCATTTAGCATTTGGCACGCATTCAATTGATCGTAATTAAATTGCTTCCTTCTTCCCAGTTCCGTAGAGTTGTCGCTTGGGTTTGTCCCTAAATGTGGGAGCTTGTGTGCAGACTTTCTACATCAAGCCGTTGGTTTGAGAGAAGGGTAGAAGTCTGTTGGCAACTGATAACAAATCTCTTAAGTTGCTGCTTTGGTAACTCACCGTTGCTAGAGCTTTAAATGTCAGATAATTGTGCTGTTTATCACACTGTGTTCTTTTCTATGAAAGCTGCAACTTGTGACTGTGGACTAGTGCCCTGTGTACAATTTACAAATGATTGGAAATAGAAGGTCAAATCCAGTGTCTTTGGAAAGGGATAAATTTTGATTTCAAGTTGCATCATCTATTTGATTTTGGGGGATTATAACTTTTGGGGAAAGGTAGTTTGAACTGCTGGGCTGCCTATTCCACCAGCGTAGGTGTCAGCAACCTGCGGCTCCGGAGCCCCATGTGGCTCTTTGGGCCCTCTGCTGTGACTCCATGTCAAGTGATCCCACCACTGGATGGCCCCACCTCTCTCCCTCCCCTCCCAGTCACTCCTTACCTGGCCTGAGAAGATAAGGGTGACAGCGGGAGATGGAGAAGTGGCCAGGGCAGAGACAGAGAGATACAGAGAGAGATGGGGAGAGAGAGAGGGAGAGAGAGAGAGATGTCAAAAGAGTTTTTTTGATTCCTGGTGTTTTTTAACAACCGGTTTTCTGTCCTAATGATTGGCTGGGTAGTCGTGGCTAGGGGGATCATGTGACTGGTGGAAGTGAGTGACATCGAGTTGGCCACACCCACCCAGGTTTTGTGGCTCCCGGTGTCAGCCTCTGGAGGTTCCGAAGTCCACCCATCATTCCCCGATGGCCCTGGCCCCATCTCTGCCTCCCTCATCCAGCTCTTCCCCAACCTCCAGGACTGGCCCATGTTCTTCCTCAGCCTCATCTCTGTCCAACTTTGCAGCTTCACAGGCTGTGGGCGGACCACAACAGATGGCCCTCAAGGAAAGGTCTGTAGAAAGTCAAAATGCTCTTAGAAGATATGCTCATTGTGATCTGTGCTCCTGGAGAACATCTCTTTAGAAGTATGTTTATTACAGCCAAAGTTCCCAGCATTAAGGCATCTTTCATTTGCACAGGGCACGATTTCCGTGCTTTATGAACACTGTGTGACTGATACAATTGGCATGGGTAAGAGCTTTAACATTGCTTCTCTTCCTATATTTAGATATAGGCTCCTGTCCCAATAGCAATAGCACTTAGAATTATGTACCGCTTCTATCTAGGACTTCTTTCTTTGTTGTTTTTGCAGTCCATGGGATACGTAATCGTCACCTCCAGCATCCCAGTTCAAAGGCATCCACCCTTCTCCCTCCTATCTGCCTTTTTCAAAGTCCAAGTTTTGCAGCCATAAATTGCAGTTGGAAAACTAAACAGTTGCTAAACGCAGGTCATGCCTGCATTATAAAAACAATAGCATTGAATGATATTTATGTAATTCCTATAGATTACCGCTGGTAATTTCATTGATTTTTCATCTTCATGGAAATTGTTTGGGAGATTTTCAAATATATTTCGTACCCGTGGAAATCTTCAAGTCCATTTAAATGTGCCTGTTGTAAGGGGGTCCATTTGTGGTTACACAAAGAAAAAATGTTTTTACACAATTTTTGGATAATTTGATCCAGGTTTGGGAAGTGCTGTGCTAGGACAACAAGAACCACCAGAATTTATCGAATTAGATCACCGGGTAGTTTTTCATTCCCTTGACTCGCTAACTAAAATTGCTCTTTGGACCAAAGAATCAGAAGTTTAGCTTCTGGCAGGAGAAAGAATTGGCAAAGTTGACCTTGTTAAAGATTGATTTTGTTTTATAGGCTGCTATGAATACGGTCACTGCCTGCCTCGCCCGGGAACTGAAAAAAGATGGAATTTTATGCCCTTTGATCCACCTTGGCTGGGTGAAAACTGACATGGTAACCATGAAGGTACAGTGAAGTCACCATTCAGAAACAGTTGCAGGAGAGAAATAATCATCTACAATGCAATTAAGGATTCTTGTTGCAGCGTCTCATAAATGCAGGGATTATAGCTGAAGGACAATAAGATTGTGCAACTCAGTCAGGCTAAATAGATAAAATAATCAATCACAACAGGTGGAGGCTCAAATTGTAGACTCTACCACTATATAAAATGTTTCTACTTGAAGAAATAAACTGGCATAACCTGGAGAAAGTTTCTGTCTTCAGGACTGTGAAAGGTTGCTCATCCAGAGTTAGACGTATAGAATAACAGGGTTGGAAGGCACTTTGAAGGTCTTCAGTTCAACCCCCTCCTCAGGCAGGAAACCCTATACCAGTGATGGCTAACCTTTTTGCCATTGCGTGCCAGGAGGAGGGGGCGCAGGAGGGGCTTGTGCACGCGTGCCCACAGCCATAATTCTATATGCCCCAACCCCGTGCATTTGCATGTGCCCCCCCTCCCTGCTCCTGGTAGGCCCGTTTTTCCTTCTCACCTGGCTCCAGGGCCCCTCTAGGAGTCTGGGGAGGTCGAAAATGGCCTTTTCCCTCCTGGAGGTCCTCTGGAGGCTGAAAAACGCCCCCTTTAACAACTTCCGGTGGGACCGGAAGTTGTCAAACGGGGCGTTTTCGGCCTCCAGAGGACCTCCGGGGGGGTGGGGATCTTTTTTTCATTTCTATCTATCTATGAATGGAAGAAACAGGTGATATATTGAACTATGAAACATGTCGTGTTAGACCGGCGGTCCTGTGGAAGAGATCCGAAAAAGCATTTCTAACGGTTTTTATTGCAGCCTTTGGAAATTGAAATTCTTTATCATATTTTCTTTTAAAAATATTTTGAATCTATTCCCTCACTGCCATACATCTATAGACCGTAAATATTTGGTCACACATCGATGTTTTAATGTTTAAAGTCTTAAAATGTGACTGCCTGCCTGACTTAACAGTTGAACAGCAAGTAGTTTAAGCAGCAGGGGTCATGTATGGAGAGTGAAACAATGACTTATTTCTTTAGATTGGTGCTTCACAAAAGAAAATGAAGATAAGTCTAATAATAATAATAACTTGATATGCAATAAAATAACAAATCCAGTCTAAACATCTGGCTGACTGTAGAACCAACCACAATAATAATAACAGTTTACACCCTGCAACAATACTTTTAACACCATCAAATAACATGGGCCATCCTGGAGTCTGGGGAAGGCTCGGACGAGGGCTCTGCATCGGAGGCAGAGATAGGGCCAGGGCCATCTGGGAGTGATGCGCGGACTCCAGAGCCTCTGGAGTCAGACAGCAGAGAGGCAGAGGAACAGGAGGATCCTGTTCCTATTACGCACATGCACAGAGCTGCCAGAAGGCATGAACAGTTAAAACAAAAGGGACAACTCGGGAGTAAGGCCAGGAGATGATTGGCCCCTCCCATAAGACTTAAAAGAGGAGCAAAGGCACACGGCACTTTGCAGGAAGGCAACATTGTTAATTCTGCTCCCAGTCAGCATCTCTGTTTGATTCTGGAATCCGTGTGGCTTTTCCACGTAGGTCTTTGGCAGAGTGTCAAGGGAGATAAAGGTGGGTGATTATCCCGAAGGACTTCTCCTGAAGGACGTTTTGCAACTAATTGGGACTCAGCTGTGAATGAACGTAATTCACAGCTGTTGCAATAAAAGAGGTTTTTGGGACTACTCGTGGGTTTAATGACTCAGGAAGCCTAGGTCACAACAGGTTCTTAGAACTCAATTGGTAGATAAAATTGCCAAATCCACTCTAAACATCTAGCTGGTTGGGTGACCAACCATGATTATAATAGTAACAATAGTAGGTGCATTGGGTTCAGTTCCAAAACACTTGGACACCACTTGAGTACCATCAGCATTGACAAAATCATCTGTCAATTGCAAAAGGCAGTTTCACTTGGAATAACTTACATCCCATGGCAATACCACTAATATCATCAAGCAACAGCATCTGCCTATCCCACGTCCATGAGAAAGGCTCAATAGGTGAACAAAAATGCCAAATCCAGTCTAAACATTTGGCAGATTATGCAACCAACCATAATAACAATATAACAACTAAGAGTCACAAAAAGAGCTGGAGAATACTTTAAGTTGCATGATTTCCAGCAGAGGTAAGTCATATTTATGGATGACAAACCCACAACTAATTTAGACTTGAAGTTGATTCCAGCCAAGGACTTTATCTACAATACAAACAAATTAAAAGTTGGAGGTCACTCCCTAGTGAAAGTTTCCATCTTGATTGGTTGGATGGTTGTTTGGTTATTTGGATGGATGAATGGTTGGATGGTTGGTAGTTGGTTGGTTGGTTGGTTGGTTGGTTGGTTGGATGGTTGGATGGTTGGATGGTTGGTAGTTGGTTGGTTGATTGTGTGGTTGGTTGGATGATTGGTTGGTTGGTTGGTTAGATGGATGGATGGATGGTTGGATAGTTGGATGGTTGGATGATTGGTAGTTGGTAGTTGGTTGGTTGGATGATTGGTTGGTTGGTTGGTTGGTTGGATGGATGGTTGGATGGTTGGTAGTTGGTTGGTAGGTTGGTTGATTAAATATATTTCTAAACCATCAAAATCAGAACTACCCTGGTAACTTACAGCAAATGAAATATAAACCATTCATGATACAAACACTAAAAACACAACAGCAATACAAAAATACATTTTTTTAAAAAATTTGATTTATATGCCGCCCTTCTCCAGAGACTCAGGGCGGCTTACAATGCGTTAAGCAATAGCCTTCATACTTTTGTATATTTATACAAAGTCAGCTTATTGCCCCCACAAACTGGGTCCTCATTTAACCTACCTTAGAAAGGATGGAAGGCTGAGTCAACCTTGAGCCTGGTAAGATTCGAACCTGCAGTAATTGCAGGCAGCTGTGTTAATAACAGGGTGCTTTAGACCACTGTACTACCAAGGCTCTTGGTTAATTAAAAAAAGACATCTTTTTTTTTTTCTTGGTGGAAAGAACAAGCCCATCTCACCAAGGGAGTGTGTTGCCTTCCCAGTCGAGAAAGGCCCCATTGGAGGCCGATGATAAATTAGCAAGCACATTGAGGATGCCTTGCACACTGTTCTGCACAGTCACAGGAGCCTGGGAGAGAAAGAGAAGCAGGGTTACTATCCTCAAGGAAGGAAAATTTGAGCCCTGTACCCTCACCCATTCATTCTCCCTCTCTGGCTAAAATAACAGGAACAAAAGAGTAGCTGCTACAACCACTGTATAGCATAGCATCGTGTTTCCAAACCTTGGCCACTTTTAGATGCACGGACTTCAAGTCCCAGAATTCTCCAGCCTAACTCAGAGCTGGCCCAGGGTTCAGATGTAATACTGATGGTACCTGACCCCAAACTGATGAGTTTAACTCATGTTAAACTCATTTAACATGATAGATGACCTCACCTTACATGTAGATGTCACCAGCACCAAAGAAGAACCATCACAAAATGGTGCCACCACCCCCAGCCCCTGAACTTGATTCAAAAGGATCTTATGGTCCACAGTATGAAAAGCTACTGAAGATCAAAGAGCAGTGAGACGGACACGTTATTCCATCTCAGCTCCAACATGGGACCACTGTTGTCTCTGTAGTAAACCCTGGCTCTCCCTTTGTGGTACCTGCTCCGTTCCCATGTCTGTTTTCACCCAGCCGGGATGGATTACAGTACACAAGATCTCTTCCTCTTTCAGTTCCAAAGCGAAGCAGACCGTCACCATGTTCAAAGCAGCCTGCAAAGAAAATTTAACTCCTAAGATCAGGTCCTCATCCTTTTCTTTCTTCTCTGCTCTGATGCCTGACCCAATCACACAACCCCCTGCTATCAAAGCATTGGCATGATTGATGGCAAGAAGGGCAGGTTTTACCCCTTTCAAATATTCTGGAGTATGATTCCCTAACCTCTGGCTGCATTGGAACTGTAATCTCAAAGGACTAAAAGGGCTTAAAAGGTGAAAGGATTAAAGGGTGCAGATCAGCAGTGAAATCCGGCCGGATCTATCCGGCTCGCGTGAACCGGTAGCGCCGCCAGCAGGAGGCTCCACCCACCCGCCGGGATGTCATTACGTCCCTTTTTTTTTTTTACTCTCTGTGCCTGCGCAGGAGAGGCACGCACTCCCGTTCCTGAACCAGTAGCGAAGGAAAGTGGATTTCACTGCTGGTGCAGATGTGAAAGGCCTAAAGGAGAGAAGGCAAAGACTTAAGCAACATAGGACCAGGGTAATCAGCAGCAGAACCCCCAAAAAACAGCACGATGTCTACGCAAACAAAAGTCTGCCCCTTTTTTAGATGTGTCACATCTGCAACACATTTTTAAGAAGGGTGGTCAATGATTGTAAGTGAATAGAATAGAATAGAATAGAATAGAATAGAATAGAATAGAATAGAATAGAATAGAATAGAATAGAATAGAATAGAATAGAATAGAATAGAATAACAGAGTTGGAAGGGACCTTTGAGGTCTTCTAGTCAAACCCCATCTTAGGCAGGAAACCCTACACCACTTCAGACAAATGGTTATCCAACATCTTAAAAACTTCCAGTGTTGGAGCATTCACAACTTCTGGAGGCAAGTTGTTCCACTGATTAATTGTTCTAACTGTCAGGGAATTTCTCCTTAGTTCTCTAGGTTGCTTCTCTCCTTGATGAGTTTCCACCCATTGCTTCTTGTCCTGCCCTCAGGTGCTTTGGAGAATAGTTTGACTCCCTCTTCTTTGTGGCAACCCCTGAGATATTAGAAGGCTGCTATCATGTCTCCCCTGGTCCTTCTTTTCATCAAACTAGACATACCCAGTTCCTGCAACCGTTCTTCATGTGTTTTAGCCTCCAGTCCCCTAATCATCTTTGTTGCTCTGAATGGGCACCATCTGAATAATTCCCAGCCAGATCCAAGGAAGATTTATTTATTTATTTATTTATTTATTTATTTATTTATTTATTTATTTATTTATTAAATTTATATACCGCCCTATTCCTGAGGGACTCAGGGCGGTGAACAGCGAACGATAAAAATACATGTAATACAAACGTTAAAAAAAACAACCAATTAAAATATACTAAACACTCTGGTCCTAGATAATTCAAGACATCCCAGTTTAAAATAAAATCAAAAGCAATATAAAGGGAAAGTTAGGCCAGGCCGGCCTGCTGAAACAGGAATGTTTTGAGGGCACGGCGGAAAGTGCGCAGATCCGGGATCTTCTGTATCTCTGGGGGGAGCTCGTTCCAGATGGTGGGTGCCCTCACAGAAAAGGCTCTCCCCCTGGGGGCCGCCAGTCAACACTGTTTGGCTGACGGCACCCTGAGAAGACCCTCTCTATGGGAGCGTACTGGGCGGTGAGAGGCCGGTGAGAAGATGGGTGGGATATAACTTGAATGAATGAATGAATGAATGAATGAATGAATGAATGAATGAAATGTTCCTAAAAGCAGACAAGATCTGATAAACTGGACACATAGACATGTTCTGCTATCTCACCAGCTAATTCTTCTGGATGAAAGGAATAATGTGTTCCTCCAAGGAAAACCTACCTTGCTTGCACGATAAGGGTACATCGGTCCCTTCATGACTTCAAAGCCCCGTTCAATGGAGGCCAACTTGGAGGTTATATTGATGATGGCTGCCCTCTGGCAACTCATCTCCTTTATGGCTGCCTCTCGAGCTGCTTTCTTCAGCAGAGGCAGAAATTCCTGAAGGAAACGAGATACGTTAAGTTGTGAAATAAGGCCACGATGACCCAGGAACTGTATGACTAGTATCAGAATCATTTACTTATCTCTAAGAAATTACCTTGAAACTCAACATTAAGAAAACTAAGATAATTGCATCCGGCCCGCTCAATTCCTGGTAAATAGATGGGGAAGAAATGGAGGTAGTGACAGATTTTATTTTCCTGGGCTCCAAGTTCACCGTAGACGGGGACTGCAGCCAAGAAATTAAAAGACGCTTGTTCCTGGGGAGGAAAGCTATGCCAAATCTAGATAGCTTACTAAAAAGCAGAGACATCACCCTGCCAACAAAAGTGTGTATAGTCAAGGCTACGGTTTTCCCAGTTGCAATGTATGGCTGTGAAAGTTGGACCATAAGGAAGGCTGAGCACCAAAGAATTGAGGCCTTTGAACGATGGTGCTGGAGAAGACTCCTGCGATTCCCTTGGACTGCAAGGCGATCAAACCAGTCAGTCCTAGAGGAGATCAACCCTGACTGATCTTTAGAAGGCCAGTTCCTGAAGATGAAACTCAAATACTTTGGCCACCAAATGAGAAGGAATGACTCACTGGAGAAGAGCCTAATGCTGGGAAAGATTGAGGACAAAAGAAGAAGGGGATGACAGAGAATGAGGTGGCTGAATGGAGTCACTGAAGCAGTAGGCGTGAGTTTAAATGGACTCCAGAGGATGGTAGAGGACAGGAAGGCCTGGAGGAATGTTGTCCATGGGGTTGCAATGGGTCAGACACAACTTCGCAACTAACAACAACAAAGATATTACCCATTATTTTTGTTGACTAAGGCTACCTTTGCTTCCGATTTTCTTTGGTCTTAGCAGACCCATTCCTTCTTATTATTCTCTTTCACAACTCCTTAGTCACACTTCCATCTCACATCCAATTCAAAGTCCCAACAATATTTACACATTTCTCTGATCACTGAACCGACTTCAGTTTTAACTTTAACTTCTACATGTTAATAACACTTTACAATGGAATAGAATGGAATGGAATTCTTTCTTGGCTGAGTATGATTGGACAGTCATAGATCATAAGATTTATCATAGAATATGATAATATTATAGGACATGATCGATAAAGTTAGAATAACAGTTGGAAGGGACCTTTGAGGTCTTCTAGTCCAACCCCCTGCTTAGCAGGAAACCCTACACCACTTCAGACAAATGCTTATCCAACATCTTCTAAAATCTTTCAGTGTTGGAGCATTCACAACTTCTGGAGTCGAGTTGTTCCACTGATTAATTGTTCTAAGTGTCAGGAAATTCCTCCTTAGTTCTAGGTTGCTTCTCTCCTTGATTAGTTTCCACCCATTGCTTCTTGTCCTGCCCTCAGGTGCTTTGGAGAATAGCTTGACTCCCTCTTCTTTGTGGCAGCCCCTGAGATCTTGAAACACTGCTATCAGGTCTCCCCTAGTCCTTCTTTTCATTAAACTAGACATACCCAGTTCCTGCAACCATGATAGGATGGGAATCAGTAGTCTATCTGGCATTGTTAAATAATTCCAGCCACCTGCGTGGTCAGTGGTAATAAATATTGGGAGCTGTGGTCCAACACCTCTTAGAGGGCCATAGGTTCTCCACTGTTGGTTTAGTCTACCGTATTTCATAATACACAAGACCAAATCATCATTCTCCTGTTTCTTTCCCAGAAAGAAGACAATGATTCTCTTACCTTAACCACAAGGATGGGCCCTACCACATTGGTGTTGAAAGCAGACAGCATCTCTTGCTGCTCCACAGTTTCCAGAGTGGCATAGGAGTTTACACCGGCATTATTGATCAGAAGATTTAAGCCTTTACCATGTAGAAGAGACTCAACCTCCAAAGCAGCTGCTTTCACACTGGACTGATCCTCCACCTCTTCCATGGACATGTGAAAAAAACGAGATCCTTATCAGAGAAGCCAAAAGCTGATGTGGGGCCTAGAGCAGGGGTCTCCAACCTTGGCCCCTTGAAGTCCCTTGTGGACTTCAACTCTCAGAACTCCTGGCTGAGGAATTCATGGGGATGGGGAATCCATACTGGCTGAGGAATTCTGGGAATTGAAGTCCACAAATCATAAAGTAGCCAAAGTTGTGTTCTGCCCTAGCTATGGACCCCAAAGAACGCAGCACACACAAATTCTGTACAAAACTTAATTTATTGAAATAACTTGGTCTTTTTTAAACAAAGGCTGTTAATAAACTTTCTTAAGAAACCTACAAGAAACCAAAGATAAAGTAATCACAATCTTACTATGGTTGGCAGAAAGCCCAGAAGCAATTTGCAGAGAATCCAGACACGAAGGAAAGTGAACTAAAGTTGTTCCCTACAAATTGTTTCAGTCGGCGTTCCTCCTTAAATAGGCTAAGGGAGTGGCCAATTAGCCCCAAGCCTTACTCTCGAGGAGACCTCCTCCTGAGGAGCCACTCCTGCCTTTTGGCAGCTCTGTGGGCCCGTGCATCGAGAAGAGGCTCCTCCTCTTCGTCCTCTTCACTTAAAGGAGCTTCTAGAGGTTCTGAAGGCCCTGGCTGAATCCCAGCCTCTGGCACCACATCTTCTCCAGCCTCCTCATTGTCTGACTCGAGTGCCAGCTGCACAGGCTACTGGCACAGCACCACATCATCCTCCTCGTTGTCAGAATCAGCTACAATCCGCACAGGCCGCTGATGGGCCACAACAGGTTGGAAACCCCTGGCCTAGAGGATTGTGGGTCAGCAATTGGGAAGAACCAAATTTCAGTTGCCCTAGCTGGTGCCTACATGACACTTTGCATAGACAGTCCTTGACTTACAACCATTTGTTTAGTGGCCATTCAAAGTTACAACAGCACCGAAAAAAGTAACTTGGGACATTTTTTTCACCCTTACGACCGTTATAGCATCCTCATGGCCACATGATCGACGCTTCAGACGCTTGCCAACTGACTCATATTTATGACGGTTGCAATGTCCCGAGGGTCATGTGTTCCCTTTTTGCAATCTTCTAACAAGCAAAGTCAATGGGAAAATCAGATTCACTTAACAACAGTGTTACTAATTTAACAACTGCAATGATTTCCTTAACAACTGTGTTAAGAAAGGTGCTAAAACGGGGCAATAACTATCTTGCTTAGCAACAGAAATGTCGGGGTTAATGGCAGTAGTAAATCAAGCATTACCTGCACTGAGATACAAACGTTTTAAAGCTAAGATACACATATGGCACAGTCAAACTGTCCATAGTCCATGTAGATTTCCCAATGGATTTCTTTTTTAAAAAAGACAGAGGTCAAATCAGAACAGAAAAGAAACAGGAAGCTCTCATACCCAGCTGGATGATGTGAATGTTGGAATGCTTGCTAGCGAGATCATTCAAGGTCTGGAATTAAAGAGAAGATGTCAAGAGAAGAGAAGAAGATCCGAGGAGCAATGGAAAACATTGGCTTCCTATCCTTAGGTCCTAAGGAACTTTCTCCCAAGCCATTCTAATTGCTCTTCGATCTCTTTTACTTAAACCGGACTGTATTTTTTTTTTTTAAATAATTTTCATGAAAAAATTTTCAGCAAAAACAATATAAATACTGAACTGAAGATAAAGAGGAATGGAGGTGGGGGGAAGTAATGAGAAAGGGAAAAAGAAATACAGTCACCAGAAGTCAAAAAGAAAGAAGAAAACATACCAAGAAGTGCCTTCCGATCTTAACAGCAGCTATACGCATATTTTTTTAAAATTTTACCTTCTCTAAGATTACATCGTAATTTCCTTCTTTCCATAATCTACCCTTTTCAGCCCTCAAGTCCATAAATCACCAGTTCATTTCTTTCTTTCCTTTTTTGGTTCAGCAAAACGTTTCAAAAAGTTGAAACTAGGGCTGTATTTCTGAAAATAATTCATTCTGGATTACTACTAGAGTTGTTGCGGGGGGAGAGAATTATCTAGATGTTGTCTCTCTCTTCCTGTTCTATGTCTCATGTCAGTGAATGTGCATTGAGGTGATTTTAAAACAAGTCAAGACAAGCAGGCTTTGAAGAGCGGCAAAGCTTCTAATTTTGCTTTCGGGGTAATGTCGTCCTTCTAAGTAGCCCGTGGCTGGCAGCTGTATGGGATTTCCTGTTTTTGTGGGCCTCGAGCTTCCTGGATCACATTTTCTCTCTGCAATCCATCATCTCAAGACAACAAAAGCAATGCTTCAAAAAAAAAAAAAGACAACAAAATTATCTTGTCTTTCAATATCCAGTGAACATTTTTTTTTTACTCTGCCCAAGTGATCTTATTTCCTGTGCAACATTGCCTCGTCCGTGTGACTCTTGACACTTCACCCCCATCTCACTTCTGAGTCACCAAGAAGTAATCCATTTTAGAGCTGTAGTTTAGTTAATTGTTTTTGCTATTTCAATCTCCTCTGGCAAGATGATGGCATCTGTCCCACAGTAATTGCCAGCAAGATAGCTCTTCCCACCCCTTTTGGCTTACCTGTCGAATTCCCTCCGTAAGGAGGTTCACGCAAATATTATTGTTTCAGAGGCTAGGTGAATGCTTTTTTTCTTTTCTGCATTTTTAAGCAGTTTGCTTTTCTTTTCTTTTTTTTTTATTTTAAGCTTTATATCTTACTTCCCTGGAGAAGTATCTCTGTAGGATCTGCTATCCTCTGTAGCTTTAGTCCTGCAGAAATATTAAGATAACCACAGACGATAGGGAAGCCACCTGTGTCACCTTCCTCAAAAACGGAAAGCAAAGCTGCTTAGATAGCAACAGGGCGCCTTCACCCTGCTCTTCAATCATGGTAACTTTCTACAAACCTTCCCGCCCGGTCCGGTTGGGGTTCGGCAAGTTGCAAAGATGTGTTCTGGAGGCTCAGCCATCTTCACCAGTTGTTGGATCAGTTCAAGTCCGATTCCCCGATTGGAACCGGTCACCAATATGCTATGAGCTAACGGAGCCATCCTTTCACTGAACTCTTACTTTTTTGTATGCCTGGACTTTGTTCAGTGGTTTAGTAACTATAGTGTTAGGACTCAGGAAAAAGGTGTGTCTCCTGACACAATCTCTTCATTTGCCTGGGGCTATGTCATGCAAATCTTTCCCTGGGAAGAGAAGGTCTTAAGGCATTGTTTTGGTGACAGCTCCTTGGATGGGTGTTTCAAGAGCACAGCAGGAAAAATTGCTAAGGAAAACAGGCCTTGCATGTTTTGAGCCAATCCTTGACACTTGACATGGTTGGGAAAAGCATCTCCAATGATCAGAAGAAATATAATACACCTGCTGTCTGCTATCCACCCAATTTGCACATTCTTTGTGATGCTTCTGAACCTTCCCTGTTAGGCCTAGATTCACACAAATGAATAACCCAAATAAATGAATCCACATACAGACGGGAAGTTGAACAAGTAGCCTTGTGGTGCAACCAGAACAATCTGGAACTGAATACACTCAAACCCGTAGAAATGGTGGTAGACTGTAGAAGAAACCCTCCCATACTAACACCTTTTACAATACTAGACAACACAGTGTCAACAGTAGACACCTTCAAATTTCTAGGTTCTACCATATCTCAAGAACTAAAATGGACACCTAACATCAAAAACGTCATTAAAAAAGCTCAACAAAGAATGTTCTTTCTGCGCCAACTCAGAAAGCTCAAACTGCCCAAAGAGCTGCTGATTCAGTTCTACAGAGGAATTATTGAGTCTGTCATCTGCACCTCTATAACTGTCTGGTTTGGCTCTACAACCCAACAAGACAAACACAGACTTCAACAGATAATTAGAACTGCAGAAAAAACAATTGCTACCAACCTGCCTTCCATTGAGAACCTGTATACTGCACGAGTCAAAAAGATGGCTGTGAAACTATTTACAGGCCCCTCGCATCCTGGACAGGGGTGAAATCTACTCACCTTCCTTACCAGTTCAGAAGCGCACTAGGGGTAGGTTCTACTTACCTTTACTACCGGTTCGCAGTTATAACCAGTAAGTAATGACACCCGGGCGGCGATAGCTACCGGATTGCCGAACCACAGGAAAAAATCACTACCGGATCAGGTGACCCGGTCCAATCCAGGAGCATTTCACCCCTGAAAATTGTTTCAACTTCTATCCTCAAAATGTCGCTATAGAGCACTGCACACCAGGACAACTAGACACAAGAACATTTTTTTCCTGAACGCCATCACTCTGCTAAACAAATAATTCCCTCAACACTGTCAAACTATTCACATTAGGCTGCATTACTATTCCTATTAGTCTTCTCATTGTTCCTATCACCCATCTCTTCCCACATATGACTGCATGACTGTAACTTTGTTGCTTGTATCCTTACGATTTATATTTATTGTTTCCTAGTATGATTTGATTGCTTACTTGTACCCTATGACTATCATTAAGTGTTGTACCTTATGATTCCTAACGAATGTATCTTGTCTTTTTATGTACACTGAGAGCATATGCACCAAAGACAAATTCCTTGTGTGTCCAATGACACTTGGCCAATAAAGAATTGTATTGTATTGTATTGTATTGTATTGTATTGTATTGTATTGTATAACAACTGCCTTGTTGCCTCCCACATTTTTTTTGTGGTCTCCTTGGCTGCCTTCTTCAGGAGAGGCAAGAATTCCTAAAATACATATGAAACAATAGGCCAAAATGTTACATTTCTCTTCTTCCTAGGTCTCATTGAGATCCTTGTTTTATTCTCACTGGCATTTTTTATTTCCCACATCATGGCTTTTTTTTGGTGCCACCTCTGATCCCATTCGCTCATGGTTGACCTCCTTGGAGCCCAAGGGAGCTAATGACGGTAGACATTGTCACATATAAATGCCCACACCACGAGGCAAAGACCTGTGAGGGTTAACTCCCACAGCCCCCTTCACCTCTTGACCCCTCCTCACCTTAACTCCGCCTCCAAGGTATATAAGCTCTAGCCATGCGGTCCGGAGGGCAGTTCCAGCTGACCACCTGTGATAGATAGACATATAAATAAATACTTGCTGATTCAACATCTACTTTGTGTGCTGGAGTTATTGGGCCAGATCCTTGTAAATAAGCAACAGACACGTTGACAACAACTGCCTTGTTGTGTTTTGTTTTGTTTTGTTTTTTTTTGTTTTGTTTTGTTTTAATTTGATTTATATGCCGCCCTTCTCCGGAGACTCAGGGCGGCTTACAATGCGTTAAGCAATAGCCTTCATTCTTTTGTATGTTTTATACAAAGTCAGCTTATTGCCCCCACAAACTGGGTCCTCATTTCACCTACCTTAGAAAGGATGGAAGGCTGAGTCAACCTTGAGCCTTGGAGAGATTCGAACCAGCAGAAATTGCAGGCAGCTGTGTTAATTACAGGGTGCACTAAACCCCTGTACTATCAAGGCTCTTGTTTTGTGGTCTCCTTGGCAGCCTTCTTCAGGAGAGGCAGGGATTCCTAAAATACATATGAAACAGAAGGCTGAAATCTTACATTTCTCTTCTTCCTGGATCTCCTTCAGATCTTTGTTTTATTCTCATTGGCTTTTTTTGTTGTCAGAGTATCTCAAAAGAGAATCACATGACCCCAGGACACTGCAACAGTCATAAATAGAACCAGTGCCAAGTGTCTGAATTTTGATCCCATGACTGTGAGGATGCTGCATCAGTTGTGTTGAAAACTGTCCTGAGTCAGTTTTTCCAGTGCTCTTGTAACTTCGAAAAGTCACTATATGAATTGTTCCAAGCTGAGGACTATCTATACAGCACCTGGGCCCCTAAACCAGACTTACTTTGACAACTAGGAGGGGCCCCACTGCATTGGTCTTGTATGACATTAACATATCTTCCTGATCGATGTTTTCCAGGTAAATGGCTTGGGAATTTCTGCCAGCGTTGTTGATTAGCAGATTGAGCCCTTTTCCTTTCAGATGGGATTCCACTTCTGACGCAGCCCGCCTGATACTGGAAAGGTCTGTCGTATCTACCAGACACAGAAGAGAAAGCTAACAGGATAGGTATCAATAAAAATCACTTGGTTCCTAATTTGATGTGTGCAGGAAAAGTGTAATGGAAAAGAAAAAACCTTCGGAGACAGAAAGAAAAGCTGCACCGTAGATAACAGTCTGATAAATGAATTTTGCCCACCTAGCAGTTCAAAAGTATGCAAACGTGAGTAGATAAATAGGTACCACTTTGGTGGAGCACCGTACCCTAGAGTCACATGATCGCCGTTTGAGACCTTCCCAACCGGTTTCTGACAATCAAAGTCAATGGAGGAAGCCCAATTCCCTTAATGACCATGTGATTTGCTTAACAACCATGGCACAAAAGGTCATAAAACCAGGCACAACTCTCTTTAACAATATCCTTGCTTAGCAATGGAAATTCTGGTTCCCATTCAGGTTGTAAGTCGAGAATTACCCGCTATTGTGTTTAAGAGTGTTTAATGAGTATTTCCATTTTGTCCACCCCTGCAAAAATGGACAATATGTAAACACAAATGCAAACACATATTCACACAATTTCCTAAGTGATCTTGGGGTTTCTTTGCCTTGGTCTTTATGCCAACCTAATCTTGTAGTTTCTTGTCTTCTAATAGGTGAATCCAGCCACTTGTAGGTGAGTCAATAATTTATAGTAGTTAAGACAAATCTGATGTATCATGATACATAGACCATCTTCTCAAGCCTCACCTTTGAGAATTAATCCGTCATGTGGTTGGTTTGGCTTTGGGGTAATGTGTTGTGTGAACCCAGCTACTTAAATTTTCCAACTTGGGTTTATGGTTTAGTGTTTAGTCTATTGTGTGAACCAAGCCACTGTGGTTTATTCTACAAACCATTACTGAAATGTACCATAATACAGTGCAGGGTATGAAATCAGCTTCAGAATCCAGGATAACAGAATAACGGAAGGGACCTTGGAGGTCTTCTAATCCAACCTCCTGCTCAAACAGGAGACCTTACGTAATTTCAGACAAATGGCTGTCCAGTCTCTTCTTTAAATCCTCCAGTGTTGGAGCACCCACTACTTCTGAAGGCAATATATTCCACTGATTAATTGCTCTCACTGCCAGGAAATTTCTCCTCAGGACTTCCCCTTCTTAAGCTTTCATCCATGATTCATGATCTTGCCCTCAGGTTCAGTTCAGTCAGCATCATAAAAGTATCCAAATTTTCCATTTTATGGTAAAGTCAACATTTATTTATTTAGCGTATGGCACATCACCCATGAACTAGCAATATATGTTGTTTGTTGTTGTTGTTAGTTGCAAAGTCATGACCGACCCATTGCAACCCAATGGACAACTGTCAGGTATGCTTCCTTCAGTATCCAGGAAAGAAAACCCCAAAGTCAAGCATTTTGAAGAATTTGGTACTTTTACTGAATAAGAAATGATTAACAACCCAGTTAAGCTGGAAGTGAGCAAAACGCGCGAAATGCATCTACTAAGCTTCTTCCCCCCCTCGTGTTTATAAATCCTCAGCCAACCCAAAGGTCTTCCAAAGGTCAGGTGGCAACACGTCTGGCAGCGTCATCCATCAGGAATGTCGAGACAGTTGGTCAGCCGTCCCCTTTTG